GAGAGAGAGAGAGAGAGAGAGAGAGAGGGGGGGAGAGAGGGAGAGAGGGAGAGAGATCGTCGTTGGTTTCTACAAACTGAGTTAATATAATAAGAAAATATGACTCTGCTTTACTGTGTTTGTGGGAAATAGAATTTAGTTTGACGATTATTGACAAAATATATATTGTCAATAAAAATGATGATGATGATTATTTGTCGACGGTCGACAACTTGTTACGTTAAGGACACGAGGGTATTCTGAAGCATTGTAGTGAGTGAGAGGGTGAACTGACCAGGGAAGACTCCATGTTTGTAGTCCATTTTGTTGAGCGTGCGGTGGATGAGCCTGCTGCCCTGCTGCAGAGACGACAGGAAGTGAGCCTCATTCTCGTTAACGATGTCCATGATCTGAAGGAAGAACACACGCTGTCAATCAACAGCTGCTGTGACATCACTCAGCTGATGTCATTTCCACAAATAAAATGATGTCACAGCCTCAGAGAAACTGAAACATGTGAATGTGTGACTCACTCGGTCGACCTCCGTGTGGAGCTCAGGATACACGCCACCCTGCGGATGAGTGGGCGGGGTTAATGACATTCCTACAGGTTACCTCATGTTTTTTTTTTCATATGCATATATGACACGAGGTGACTTGTTAAAAACTTAGTGAAGCTCTAAATTAGACCGGTCAGAGGGATTATGGGAAATGTATTTTACCAGGGTGTGGGCAACCGTAGGAACCAGGCTGGCCAGCGCTCCCTGAGGAGCCTGGAGGACCTCGACACAAAAACGAACTGCTCTGCGTAAAATCCTCCTCAACACCAACCTGATACACAGAAACACAAAATACTCAAAGTGCTCGTGTCGCTCTGTAGAAACTGACAGCTGATTGGTAGAAGACTCACTCGGCTCCCGACATGCCGGGATGAACGCCGTCTGCAATGCAGACTGATAGAGTGCGGATGTGATCGGCCACCACCCTGTACGCCATGTCCACCTTCCTCTGGTCAGCTGCACCCGTCAGGACGCCGTACGCCCCAACCTTTGACCTCTGAGGACAGACACATAACTATGGCAACAGACTCGAACTATCACCCTGAGAACCAACACATCGCCATGACAACAACAACCTGTCAGAATTCACAACACCTGGTAAATCATGGATAATGTGCAGGTGGTCCAGGTGTAGCTGCGTACCTGGTGGATGGCGTGGAGCAGGGGGGTGAACAGGTCGGTGTCGTAGTTTGATCTTTTTCCCTGCAGGACGCTCACCAGTCTCTCCAGACCCATCCCAGTGTCCACACTGAACTGAGGCAGCAGACGAAGACTGTGGTCCGTCTCCCTGACAACACACCAGGTTTTATTTTGGTGTGAGTGTGTGTGTGTGGGTGTGTGTG